TATGTATAGCTATCTGCAGGCAGTAACACTTTGGTAGACAAGATAAGATTATTAACTTGACAAAAGTGAGTTAAGTGTTTAGCAAACTGAGAACTGCTGTCTGTGAGATCAGCATTAAAATCACCCAAAACATATATGCTGTAAGTATCGTTGTCTTGAATAAATGCATTAATAAAAGCCAGCCTACTGAGGTATTCTTGCTCAAAAGTGCTCTATTTATAGAGCAAATAAATACGTGATTGACCAAACTACTTTATAAAAGAACAATGATAAAAGTTAAAAATGAATAAAGCAGACAATAAAATATCCCATAAATAAAGTTAAGGATAGAAAGAAATACAATATTGTCATACAATAATTAACTAATGATTTTTAAGATGTGCTCTTGTAAATTCCCTGAAAACACCGAGATTATGTAGTGCCTCAAAAAGACGTCACAATCTAATCTCATATTTAATATTTTAATGGTTTTTATAATCTGATTTCAGATCGGTCTCTAACGCAGCACTGTTAAAGGGATGGCTACGAAGATGACACTTTCGGGATGAGAGGCTTCCCTCCCTTCCGTCTTTTGTTCAGTTGTCTATTTAATCCCGCCCCCTCCCACAAGCCCCGCCCGCTTGAACAAGTCATAGTTGAACTAAGGTACAGTTTAATAACGGTGAACAAATGTTAAAAAGTGGTAGGTAGTATTACAGCATGATGCAGTCTACAGCAGAGCTAGGTTAAACTGCTTTGCGGTGATTTGCCACTTATATGGGGTACATTTTTCACTTAGGTGTTACAAATTGAATTTTAAAAAAAATGAAACCAGTGTTTCTTAAATACGAAGGTATTTTTAGGTGAGAATTTTTAAAGTTATATATAAAAAAGCAAATATAAGCATAAAAACTATGTTCACTTAGGAGAAGACGGAGCGGTGCCAGTTAGTTGCTTTTGTCTTGCTGTTGGCAGTGAACACATACACGCGCGTGAAATAACGATGTACTCATTAGCGCGTTTTGTCCCGCACACACACAAAGGGGAGACATCACAGAACACCTTCACCGCATCCAACGAACAGTTCCGTGGTACCCTCCACAAGCTAGGGGGAGTTGCATCTTGAGTGTTCCGATGTCTTTGGTTGTGTCCAATGCCACCGTTTCCGTAGTGCTAGGTGCAGGGTAGCTATCAACGTTAGCTCTAAGTGAATAAGGGGAGCTACGTGTTGAAATCACTATCCCAAACATCTGAGGAATATTACCTAAAGGTGTGTGTGGATGCGTGTTTTTTAGAAAACCCAAGTGGCCACAAACCTTTGTAGTCCGGTAGCGATAAACAGCTTCTATAAACATCATTTATTTCAGTTTATCGGATTAGAAATCATCCATGGAGATATGCGATAGCTAACGGAGGCTAACGTTGCTCTCGCTTATAATGCTTTTACTTCATCTAATCTAGCGTTGATGTTACACTACTGTTTAGTGTCTCGCTAATCTCAGTGTCACCAAAATATCCGCGCTGCATGTCAAACAATGACACAACTTGAAACGGTAACAAAACTTAGCAGTTTATGCTAGCTAATGCTAACGTTTTGTTTGCTGGCTAACATTGCTATATTATAGTCCCAGCTAATGAACTGTGAATAGATTTATTTCGAAACTAACTTTACAATTTCTCAGCCATTTAGCTGTGTTAACCGTACATGCTGTATAGATCATTTTTATAATCAGCCTCGATTTTTCTTTTTTCACCACAGGCTTTGCCATGATAAATTGACCAGCTTTCAACCAGCAGCCGCACACATTTAACCTCAGAGGCCAGGACATCAAGGGGCACTGTGGACATAAACATCTTTAAATGGGATGCAAGACGAACTATAGAGGAAACTTAAATTAAACTTGTGAATCAATGGATGAGGAAACGCTTGAAA